AAGGTGTTCATCAGTGTTTTGGGACCCGAGCTACAACGTAGCATATGATTTTAATCAGGATTGGTCTTTAGGTTACGTCTCCACTTTCACGTTTACGCTCTTATGTGTGGAAACACGCAAATAGAGAAACGGACATTTTTACTGCCATACTTACGCAAATTTACGGCTCGTCGACGCGCCCTTGGTGATGTCGCAACCAACCACCAATCCTCCTCACTCTCCAGCGCCGGCAACATCGCACGCATCACCAAGGGCGACGATGATGCCGAGCAAAAGACCGTTTTCTGCATATTTCAGCGCGTCTAGATACCAGTTCCCGGATCTGTCGGCCTCTGCGTACTGTGTTTAAGAACAAAGTGCCCACTTTTACGCATTTTCACGGCTACTGACATTCAAAAAACACCAGGAAGAAAAGGGCCAAATAACGCGTGTCAAAACGTGTACAATGTTTACGGGTTTGTGCTATTTTTGTGTTCTTAGCGTGCAGAACTTTGATGAAATCTGTTTTATGTGTGTTCACAAAAGTGTTGTTTGGCCCTTTTTTTCCTAGCGAAACATGTAAAATATTTTTGGCACGTAAATTGCTGTAAACTAGAAAGCGTTTACGCCGTGAAGACGAATCCTGATATGAATAGATAAATCTGTTATTGAAGAGGTGAAATTGCAAGCCCCCTTCCCCAGTTGTGGCTGGCAGTGTGCCAGCCCATCCAGGACACGACATTTCCTGGTTGATGCAAATGCTGACATGTCACTTGACAATCGTAACGAGGGATCCGCGAAACATTGAAGGCGGCCTCATCAGGCGATCGAGACACGGTCTCTATCTCCTGCAAAATCTCCTCCATTGCACTTTGAAGCAGCTCGTCGAGTTCGTGCGCATGTCAAGCAAGCAAGGTATGCTTCTGATATGGGACAGCGGGGATTGCGATGAGTGTCTGTGAGAGTCACTGGCTTCGACGCGCGGCTTTTGAACGTGAGAGAAGGTTTCAATGACGGCGTTGGTCAGAGGGCGAGAATCGTGCATTTTGAACTGCGGTCCTGGCAATTTTGTTAAGTATGCAGCTCATAAGACATGTTTTTCCCTATTTGGACATATATTTGCTGCCATTCCTAATACGTGAAATAACGTCGCAGTTCCTCCGATGTCATTGGATGTTGTTTAAACAGGACTCTCGATCCAGGTGTGTGAACGCATTCGATGTCAAACATGAAGTGGTGCTCCTAGTATTCCATCATTACATTATGATTTAGCATGATTCTAGAGATATAATGCCGCAATCTGAGCAAGATCGACACCTTTTCTGAGACTGAGGTGAGCTTGCTGTTGTGCAATTTGAATGACATAGCGATTGTGGTGAATCACACATGTCTGTCTGGATTCCAGGAATCAAATATCCTTGCCTGTGTGTCCTTGAGCAGCTGGCGTTGCCTTGAAACATGTCCTTTGTGGCAACTAAGTGGAGAAGGATATCGGAGATTTCCAGGCGTTCTTTTTCTTCCGGGGCACAGTATCATGTGCATACCATTCAATTTGGCTCCACGACATTTATTGTGGGCTCTATGTCTTGGTTTCTTAATATTACATCATATGTAAGAGTCCAGACCCTATCCTTGTCCAAACGAAAGAGATGCGGACACCACGTCACCCCACGCTCACACCCTTGAAGCCCAGAATATTCCACGCACGGGACGTGTAACCAGCCTCTGGATCACGCTGATGCTAATTGAAAGGGAGCAAGGTCTAAACAGCCAGAGAAGCGCAACAACATCCACGCGCTATGGACTGCCCGAGATATACCACCGAAAGATATTAATACAGCAAGCAACTGCTCCCAAAGTGCACTAGGGTGCCTCCCAAACTACTCTCTCGAAATCAAACAAATCTCTCAAGTTGCCGTTTCCATCACCGCCCCGTGAAGTTCCTAATCACGTGTTCGTAGTACAGGTCCGGATCAAAACCCTCAAACGCATTTTCCTCCGTCAAAAACGCCGGCTTCTCCAGCCCGTACATGTGGCTCACCATCCTCTCGGCGCTCACCAGCGACGACTCCATCCACCCCGTGGTGGGTCCGTACGCCTCATTCACGAGGTGGAGACCGTAGCCGGGGAATGGTTCCATGGGCACCTCGTCAAATTGGCCCGGCTCCAGACTGCTGGGCCTCCGGCCGTGCCAGCCGTACAGCGACCTGCCCAGGAAGACTCCCACGAGGGCCACGTCGGGGGCTACTATTTCGGACGCGTTCAGCCCAGCTCGCTCCAACTCAACCGCGTGCGTGAGCATGAGCTGGCGATGGAGCTCGTCCAGGAACTGCACGTGCCTGGGGTCCGAGGAGTTCCGCCTAATCTGGACGTAGGGATTGTCCAAGGTGTCCTGGAAGAAGGTGCCAGCCCAGGGGGCGCCCCTGTCGCCGCTTGCATACTGCGCAAGCAGGATGCCTTTGCAGGCACCGTTGTCGTCGCACCTGTGGAGATCATTGCGAGTGTGTCGCTTTTTTCTCAGTGATATCAGGCCTAGTGATGGTGGTAAGTGGCTGTGCAGTGATCGCAAGTGACCGCGCGTGGCTTGCAGTGCCCCAAAAAAGGCAAGCATTGCGTGATGCTGGAATGTGCGGACGGGTTTCGTGGGTAAGGTCCCTGCAACGTCTGGAAGCCTCATCAAGCACTCAGTACACTGATCTGCCAGTATTCTTTTGATGCACTGGTTTCCGTACATTGAACTGCCTACTGATTCATGGCAAGGCTTGAAACATGAATTCGACACGAGAACGAAGCATGCGGCATTCAAATACTGCTGTACAGACTGGCTCAGGGGATCAATGGACCGATAAACTGAGCTGGAGCGAATTTCATGGTTTCATTTTGCTGCCCATATTGACACATTATTGTCCTATTTGATATGATGGCCAGCAATTGCCGTTCTACCTGGTTTCGTGGCAATTAGATCTGAGTGTCGATTCTGGGGTCCTCGTTGCAGAAAACTGAAGACTCAGACGCTCATTCCAAACTCCCACTAGGCAGCAAACGTCTATTCATCGTTTTGACGCCCGACGCACCCTGCTAAAATCCTGAAATCCTGACTGCACTTACTCTGGCGTGACATGTCGGAATCTGCACCTCTACCTGCGAATCGGCATAATTATTGCACACAAAACTACTGGCCCATGTTGTGGCCGTCTGAACCCTGTGCCACCTGTCGCAACCTGAGGCAAGCCCCAGTGAGAGGCGCTTTACATGAGTGCTGGCTACACATAGTGGGCAAGGTTACGGTAGGCCCGGAAATAGGGTGGGAGAAATTCGGTTGACTCAAGGGTGAGTCTGTTGGCATTGTGTTCTAGCCTTGCCGGAGGAATGGGCAGGCTGTAGCGCCAAGGGCCCTTGGGGCTTAAAAGCGTGAGGGGACGACTTTCCATGGCTCCAAATGAGCCGCAAGTGGTGGCGCCACCTCAGGGAGGTGTCAGGAGACATACTGCGCTTCGTTTTCTCTCCCTCCCACCCACCACTGTGATTTGGATGCTATGATGCGATATTTGATATGTTTCTTGCTCTTCGCTTTTCTGGGACCGAAAAGGCAAACCCCACCTTGGGATGAATGCAGCTAAAATGAGCATTTAGCAGTTTGTAATTGCTTTTCCAGCGTGTGCCCTTGGTGGGCAAAATTGCAGGGCTGAACGTAACAAGAGCAGAAATTCTTCATCATCACCATCATGAATTTTTACAGAACAAGGCAATGAGGTAGCCGTCAGCTAGAAATTCTTACTTCCTCACTTTGCCACACTCATTGTCAGTTCAAGGGAACGTCAAGGGGCCGGGGGCTCACCTCACGAAGCCGTCGTGGTAACGGCTGTTGTATAGTTCCTCTGACGTCCTCATGCGGCCGCCCGTGCGGTTGAGGCCAGGCTGTGCCCAGAACGCGTCGTCGTAGTACACGTACGCCTTCAGGGCGGGCACCCTCTCCAGGGCGTCCAGCCAGCGGCCCAGGTGCGGCAGCGCCTTCGGCCCCCGTACGTCCTCCCTGCGCACCACCGCCTCGAAGGCGTCGGGCGGGATGTTGAGCACGGCCGCCGCCGGCGTGACCTCCAGCCCGCTGGCGAACGTCAGCGTCAAGGCCTTGGAGTCGTCGTGCAGTTCCACGCCGACAAGCTCCTCGCCGAGCTGCACATCCACTCCCAGTGCCGCCAGCCGCTCTGCAAGGACCTCCACTTGGGTGGCGAAGCCGATCTGGCTGCCCGTGGCGGGGTCGATGGGCACGGAGTAGCCGCCGCCCAGTCCCAGTCCCAGGCCGTTGGCCAAGTCGGCCGTGCTTCTGGCCACCAGCTCGTAGTAGTTCAGCAGCAGCGCGACCGGGGCGCCCGCGCTCCCGCAGTCCGAGTCCAAATAAAAGTCCAGGTCTTCCTGCGTCATCTTCAGCCCGCTACCGCCCACGCCGTTCCTGACCATGTGCATGAGCGACGCCTGCGTGGCGGGAACGCCGTCCAGGGTGGCCCCAGAGGCGGCTTTCAAAATCCTGTTCCGGGCGGCCCAGCGGATCGCCGCGGTCTTCCCCGTGCTCAGTTCCTCCAGTTCGGCTGTGACGAAATCGGGCGCCTGGGGGCCCACCAGCCAGTGGAACGGCGACAACGGCGCCTCGCGCTCCTGGCCCTTCCCCCACGGGACGCTGAAGCGGTAGGGTGAGTTCTCCGAACTGTTGAGCCACGCGTCGTGGTCGATGTGCACGTCGCGCACGTACCTCACGGTGGGCCTGTCACACTCGCCCGTGCAATCGCCGGTCCGGAACGCCGCGTCCTGGTAGCAGCCCGTCTGGATGCCCATGTCGCCCCACAGGGAGGCGAGGATGGGGTGCTGGCTGGACGAGGCACGGTACGCTCCCACGTCCACCGCGTTGGCGCCGATGGCAACCAGCTCCGGGGGCAGGTCGTCCCCGCGCACGGAATAGGCCCGCCCGCCCACACGGCTCGTCTTCTCGAAGATGCACGTCTGCTCGGCGGCGAAGACGCCCTCCGTTACTAGCCGCCAGGCCGCGTAGAGCCCCCCGGCCCCCGCCCCCACGACCACCAGCGCGCAGGAGTCTCCAGTGCCGTTGACGTCTGTGGCCCCCCCATTGGATCCGACTTGCGCCACTGAGGTGCCCACCAGGCACCCCAGCGCCATTGCCAGGACAGCAAGGCAGAGATTCATCTGTGGGAGGCCTTCGGCGCCCTGCTGCGCCCTACCGTCGAGTGCGCCCGACCGAAGAGTGAGCACTGGTGGCCAGCCCTGCACAACAAAAAGACGGGTCCTACATGTCAAAGAGCACAGGTTCGCGTGGTCGCGTGAGTTAGTAACCGTCTCCGGTGCGCACGCAGCGTTCCGGAGGCCCATGCACAGCTCCGAAACCACGCCACCCGCTCAAGTTCGTGGAATCTGCTCTGCCAACACTGAGCGGCATTCTTAACATGATTAACGGAGGTTAATGAGCGCGGACGCGCCAGGACCGCGTCTGATGGGTTAAAGTGCACAGCACGGAGACCGAAGCTATCGCTCCTCGCGTCAAGCGCTGCGGGCCATAACCTAGCGCGACCGTCGCCGCCAGCCTGCTGCGGAAGCAAGCGCAAAGGATGGTAAGCACGGCGGCGGGGAGAGCGAGCCGCGCTAGCAGGAAGCGGGGAGAATTTTGCGACCGACCCTCTCGCATCGCGGCTCGCCCACGGGCAGCCCCGGCGCACCGCGGTCTGCCCGCACGTTGGGTTCGCAACAAATCGCCGGGAGCGCCCCGTCCTCCTATAGCGTTTGCGCGGCGCTCGGGCCGCGCCCTTCGTTTCCGCGACCGCGGCACGTTGCGCGCTCAGCCGGCGCGCATACCGGTTGGGCGCGGACCACCTCCGCCATTGGCGGCGCCTAGTTTCTCTCCGGCTACGCTCATCGCACACGGGCCGGCTCAGCCCGCCCACCGGCACGCCGGTCAAGAGCGCCCGCGCACGGCGGAGCCCTGTGACGGTGAACACCCGCCTCGGGTGACAACTCCGGTGTCGTGCCTCAGCGCCCCGCTCATCGCGGGGGCGATCGCGCAGCGCACATGGCGCTCTGACAGCTCACGGCGGTCCCCCTTCTCAGGCGGATCACTTTGACCCCCACATGGAGGAGTTGGACTACGATGAGGCTTCCCCACGGGGGCCGGGCGCGACGCCCGAGCCCCTGGAGGAAGCGGCCGAATGGGAGCACGTCCCTGCGGAGATCGTTGACCAGCCCTCAGCGGGCGAGAGACCAAGCTCATGGGTGGAGCATGCCCAGCCGGAGGGACAGATAGAGCGCACGGGCGCCAACCTGACCGTCCCGCGTAGTGGCAGGTAAGCCTCAACGGCGTGGCAATGCGCGGCAGCCTCATCGACTCCAGCATTCTCGCCAAGCGCCGCCGCCGCTCGGATCTCGATCAATCCGTGCCCGAGCCAGCGCGTGACTCCGGGCTGCGAGCCCTTCGCTTAGCGCGGACGCCGCTCACCTTCCACCGCTCGCTTGCACTACGGTCGTGGGTTTCCATGGCGGGCGAGCTTCGGCGCCACACGGCCTCGCGTTAGGGGCGTACTCCAAGGGGGCTCGAGTATTCGACGGTGTCAGGATCCCGCACCCTCTTTTGTCACCTCGTTCGCGGGGTACGTGAACGTATCGCGCCGGCTGCGGTCACCCCGCACGGTGACGTCACGACCGGTCTCCAGTGCCATCTCTCGTCACACAGGTGGCGCCATGGCGGAGGCCAGCTCTCTGCCCCAGAAGGACCCGACGCCGCGACGGCCGAGTTTCCGCTCCGATTCCATGACATCGAGCAGGAGTTCTCTGTGGCCGACACTCTCTTCAAGGTCGCCACCGCGCGCCACCTCGGGCCGCCGCCGCGACCGCTGCATCTGCTCACCATGACTCTCTGCGAGCACATGGGCATGGTCGACATAGTTCAATACGCTTCACATGAGGTGTTGGCCCTTCGCCCCGCCTCTTGCCCGCCGTGGGCGACGCCTATGGAGGCGGCTCATCGCCAATGGTTTGAGGTACATCTCCCCGCCATCACCTTCGACGCGACAGCCGTGCAGAGGGACGCGTCCTGGGTGCCCTCCAATACTAGCTTGGCGCTCATCGCGCCTGAGTGGGTCTTCGCCCATGCTCACTTCGAGTGCGTGGCTGAACATGAATTGCCGCCCTCCCTCAGCGTGGGGCCAGGGATTAGGCCTAAGGATGCGACTCTGCCGCTGATTCGGCCGCAGGCGCAAGACCGCGACGGCTTTCATGTCCCGCTGCTGCGTTTTCCTATCGACACGCTACCCGCACCGGGTAAATGTGTGCATGTCTACACCTTTCGCAGCCCGCGGCGTGCTGACCATAGCGCAGCTCGCGTCGCAGCACAGCTCCGTGGTCGTTGGGGTGAGCGCACGGCGGCAGCCGCGCCGTCTGTGGCGCAGCAAAACGCCTGGTGGCGCCAGCCGCCCCAGGGTCGGGCAGAGCAGCTGCCGAAGCGGTCTCGGTCAACCCAGCCGCAGGCGTCACCGCGCAGCATGCACGCGGCCGCTACTTGGGATGCAGCTGTGTCCGCAGAAAGGGAGCGAGCTCTGCACGACGGCCCCGACCCGCGCGCTCTTCGCGCGTCAGGGTCTGCTATTCCGAAATTGGCTTCTCTGTGGGTGGGGGCGTCGGCAGCGGGTGAAGGCAGTCATCCTGTCGACCCGGAGTTGCACCGCCCCCCGGCGCGCGTCCCTACTCCCCCCACTCCGTTGGGGGCGGGAGGGACCTCCGCGCCTGCCGACATGGAGTGGCTGAAAGAGCCGGAAGACGAGTTCCACACTCGGGCATCCTCCTCGGCCACAGGGGTATTAGCGCCGCGACGGCGCTTTGTGCTCGGCCGAGGATGCCAGCCATTCCGGTCCTGCAGCCGTCACGCACGGTGGCGCTTCTTGGCCTACGATGAGGCGGGGATTCAGGGCTCTTGGAGCGGGCTGTACTCGGCGGCAAGGAACCTCATCGGAATCCACTCCAAGTCCCCGGGAGTCAACCTCCTGTGCGCCGCCGAGACCGTGGACCAGGTTCTGGCCCGTACAGAGCCTGTCCTGTTCCCCGGCGAGGACGTCCAGCAGGCGCCAGCCGCCTTGTATAACGTTCTTCGCATTATCACCCCCATCCTCGGCCTTGCTGTGCGTGTGGCCAGCCCTCACGCGCGCATTTTCGATCATCAGGCCTGCGCGCAGTGGGTGGCCGGCCTTGAGGCGGAGCTCTTCGCTCTGAACGAGGCCGGCTACATAGATGTTCATCACATCTTGCGGCAGTTGAGGGCCAGGTTCACGGCGGTCATCGGCGACAACGCCCGCCACTACGCCGACACGCCGGCTCTACACCGGCAGGCTGACCGTGGCCACGACGCTGGCGGGGTCTTCCCTCGTGGCGGTGGACGCGGAGGACGAGGCCGAGGCGGGAGTGGCGCGGGGGCCCCCAGCGGGCCCCCTGTCGTGTAGGTGCCAGCGCGCCTGATCGGGAATCGGTTTTTCGTGGTAGCTCTGTGGAACACTATGATGTTTGTAGCCGTCATCTGGCCAATCTGATGTTACCACGTTTGTAATATGTAACAATTTCCTGATCCTCTTCGGTGTCCCTCCGCAACAGACCTTTGGTTCTCGAGGGGTCACGGCCCGTCGTTGGGCCCCTCTCGCCTGCCGGCCCTCCGGTCGTTCCCTCTACGCCGAGGGCTCGGCGACGGATAGTGGCTTCCTCGCCCCCTTCTCGACGCCGATCGGCCGTCACGGATGTGCCCGTGCCGGCTCCTCTCTCTACCTTGCCGGTGCCGGCGCCCCCAGCAGCTCTTGACTCAACGTCGCTCTCGGTCCACGTTCCGCCCGGACTCGACGTCCCCGTTTTGGCTCCCGCGGGTTCCGAGGATGAGGAAACCAGCTTTCCTCCCTTTGATCTTCACATTCCCCCAGCGGACGAGTTGCACAGTCCCTCGTTTGACTCCGCCGCGCAGCTCCCCGTCTCGTCGACGGAATTTAGGCTGCCCATGCCCCGGCGGGGCCCTGTAGGCGCGGCATCCATGCATAGTTCCTATCTTGCACGGGCTCTTCGCCTAATGCAGGATTTGCAGCGCCGGGACGCGTCGGCCTGTCGCGACGTTCCAGCGACGGTCGCTGAGCTAAAGTCGGTCTTGCTGGACGACTCTCAGTTTGTAGCAGGGAATTGGCACCACTTTGCCGAGCTATGGGCCCAGTACCTTCGCAGCATCCCTCGTTGGCCTCAACGGCCTAAGGTTATGGCCTGATTGCGCCATGGCTATGCGATCGACTGGGTCGACCCCGAGTCGCATTGCCAGCAGTTGCATCCGCACTTCAAGGCTAAGCGCCAGGAGGTGCGCGCGATGCTCGCCAAAGTGCTCCCCAAGGACCAGCTCCTCGGTCACCTGACGGGTACGCGTCCTAGTTTCGTGGTGTTCCCCAACAGGACGTCCGCCATGACACATGAGGAGTTCACTGACAGCGCCATCCGCGGCCTTGTTGAAACGGGCATGGCGGTACTGTTCGACCCCACTCTCCATGCTCCGGTCCAGGTGGTCAACCCACTCGCTGTGGTCACTCAGCGCACCAAGATGCGACTGGTGATCGACCTGCGGTATGTGAACTCCTTCGTCAGGTATGAACCCGTCCGCTATGAGCAGCTCTCCGACGTGTTAGCCTTCGCTCATCGCGGGTGCTACGCCATAGTGACGGACCTGAAATCCGGGTACCATCACCTGCGTATGCGCCGCTGCGACTGGCCGTTCCTCGCGGTCCATTGGAAGGGTCGCATTCTGCTTTTGACCCATCTCCCGTTCGGGTTGGCATCCGCGTGCGCGGCCTTTACTCACATTCAGACAGCGTTTTACCGGCCTCTGCGCCATTTCGGTTCGTTGATGGCCTTCCTCATAGACGACCGGTATGGAGCGGCGGCCAGCCCGCAACTCTGTATGCTCGACGGTCTGATCTTGGCCCTTGTCGGCACAGCCCTGGGGACTTTCTTTTCATCCAAGAAAGCCGACTGGGTGCCGAAGCAGACGCAGCGCTTCCTCGGCTTGGAAGTTGACTCCGGCGTGGGTGCTTTCCGTGTTCCAGCTGACAAACGCAGTTATTTTCTCTCGGTTGTGGGTGAACTGCTAGCCGGTGATCGTGTTACTTCCCGTCAGTTGGCTCACATCGCGGGACTCATCGTCTCTATGAGCATGGCCGTGAATCTGTGCCCAGCTTTCAACCGGCGTCTGTTCGCAGCCTTGGTGGGGACAGAGTCTTGGGATGACCTTTTCCCTACTCCCCAGGAGGTGCGGGATGAGCTTGAGTGGTGGCGGGACAACTTCCACAGGGTTGAGGGTCGCAGTTGGCCCA